AGCTATGAGGCTTCTCGCGTGTCTGTGAGTTATATGGAAATTTTGAGTGACGTTGCATTTTTTTTTTTTTTTTTTTTTTTTTTTTTTTTTTTTTTTTTTTATAATATGCATATATCTAATCGATTGTTAATTCTAATTGATTAAGTTAGTTGTGCATGTGGAAGGAATCGTGATTACTTTAACTCTTAATTTTTGTGATTCGTTGGTTGACGACGTTGGCAATTCTACTTAGCTCATTCGCCTATTTCAATTCATTTATCATTATTTATTATATTTCTATTAAAATTGTAAATTTTTATTTTATAGTTATACTTCCCAAATGGTCTTCGTTGTCAATCGAATTTAATATTCGTATATTTATTATTTGTTTAATTTCCTGATTTTGCAAACAGATCATTCGCACAGACATGAATCTAAGTTTTTCTTCTTTTAATAAATTTATCTACTTTCCCCAGATTTTATATATAATAAAGAAAATAAATCAATTTTTATTAAAATGAAATTGTATTTTTGAAAATAAAAATTATTAAATAATAGATGCGATCGTTAATCAAGTTCAAACATTTTAATAAATTATGTATTGTTAAACTTAAAAGCTACTACGGGATGATCTCTTGTGAATACGGTCGAAATCGTGGATAATTGATAAATTGAAGCTACGAAAGCTTAAAAAATAAAAAATTACGATCAAATACAGCCAAGCAAATTTATGTAATTCATATCGTTCTTTATCACTGTAAACATTTTACTACATAAAGCTCTGTTCATACTTAATATTATATATATATATATATATATATATATATATATATATATTTAATTATACTAGAAATGCAAAAGTTATGAGATAAATCTTGACAATATATTAATAGATTAATGTGTTATGTAACATTGTCAAACTTAATATTTCTTAAGAGCATAAATATTGCATATTATTAATGATAATTAAATTATTTACAATATGTTTAAATACAATATGTTTATACAATTTATAGATAAATTTTTAACAAGTCATAATAAATAAGAATAATGTCAAGTAATTTTATTAGATTCTTAAATTTATATATTTTAAAATGTCTGAATCGAAATTTATTCATAAATCCAAACGTATACTTTTTTTTTATTCTACGTGTACATAAATATTGGGAGACTATAGTTTTTATGTAAATAAAAATTTCGATAAGATTGTTATTTTTCAAATGAATGTTGTATACATCGATATTGAATAGAAAATTTATATAAATTTTTGCTCATCTTAAATAACTAATGAGCTTAACTCTTATATTAAGGTTCTTTCATTCATTGTATTGCCTATATTTATCGACATAAAAGTCCCAGTTATTCACATCTGTTACTTGAAATTGCAATATACACACACACACACACAGACACACACACACACACACACACATATATATATGATTTCACAAATATCAATTTCAATTTCATTATCTCATTATTATAGTTTTGATATACGCTATATAATAAAATCAAGTATAGAATATTTATGTGAGGCGCGAAGAGATTGTGTGTTGGATAATGTAACCGTTGTTGGCGTACGTTCTAAAGTTTTCGAACCTTATGGATGTACAAAATGGTTGTTCACTTTAAAGTCACAATATGATAAATTTCAATTCAATATAGGAGAGTGTGTCATACATTATTTGTGTGATATCAAGCAGATTCATAAATCATTTCTGGATGGCATCATCAGCTGTGCGCTTTGCGACGATATCGAGAACAAGTCAAAAGTAAATATGAGTAAATGAGTGAGCAAGACAAAGCAAGAATATCGTTGGTATTGAGCTGCAAAAATAATAAAAAAAAAAATTATTAAATAAATAAATTAACAATTTGATACAAGGAATGAATATAATTAATAAAAAAAAAAAAAATCATGGATATTGAGACAAATGACATTGAATACGGATTGACTCTATCTATGATCTATAATTATATTATACAGAAAATCAAATTGTTATAAAAATTTAAGTGTAGTTAACAAAAAAATTATAATTCATGTATAATTAAGTTGACTTTAGTAGTTATTATTATAATGCTACAAGTAAGTAAAATAAAACATAAAATTTTTCATAGATTATTGCATTGATATTATTGTTCATTTACTTATCCTTTACAACTTCTCCAATTCTAAAAATACAAGAATTAATATTTTCGAATAATAAATAATGTTAAATTACATATATATTCACGTGTATGCACCATTATTATTTTTTTATAATTATAATGATGAGAAATATCGTTTAAATTATATAAAATGCCACGTCTTTTTATTATTATCACACAATAAAGGACAAAAATGTAAATGAATATATTATCCACTATCATATATTAATTATAGTGAATATTTAATAATATTTTTATGTAACTGATTAACTTAAATGATTATTATAAATATTTTACGTGTTTGCTACTGTGGCTATAAATTTACCTAAATTAATCATTGCTGCCCCTATAGAATTTAATATGAATGTCATTCAATTTTTGATAATGTATTATACCTTATAAGATCATATTTATATTTGTGTTTATATTTGTAATAATATTTTTACATTATATAAATAATTTATTTTATATATATATATATATATTTTTTTCTTTTCTTTCCTCTCTTCTGCACGTTTACAGTAACTTCGGTATCCGATTTGTGTCTGTAATTTCTAAAATTCTTTGATCTGCGTATGTAAGTATATTAGTTTCTTAGTATTCATCTAGATTATCCATGTGTATAAGCTTGACTATTCAACGCTCAGTTAGATTTTCCTTATAGTTAATTAGGTTTTCAATACCCTCTGTTTGCTTACGTATTGGTCATTACGGTCAAAGCGACACCATTCGCCGTGCATCCTTCAACTAAATTAATTGAAAAAAATTTTTTATTCTTCTACATGGCAAGCCGTACGCTTGTGACTGTGTGATTGACACACGCCAAATAACGATTGAGCCACATACCACCACCGGCTTTATTCAACAGACTTGGGCCCTTATCGATCTCTAAATTTCTGATCGAGAGTCGGACGTTTTATAGTAATCTCCTTTATGTCGGGCGACGTAAGTAAAAACATGCAAGACCGTGTGCGAAAGGAATTTAATATTTTTTTTTTTATCACTTCGTTTAGTCTATCCAAAGTTTACGTGAAAAGTAGATTTTTATCATTCTGAGTACTATTTGACGTGTTTAATATTGTGATTGAAGTACGCGATAATAGCCGTTGATTAATTAAAGTTAGTTTTTTTCTAATACATTTCCATAAATTAATCCTACGAACTTTCCATGCATAATATTCATCATTTACCTTGTTTTTGGTTATCTATCAACTTAAATACTTTGTATTTTATTTTCAATATTTTAGGCAAGAAAGTAATTTAATAGAGGATATAAAAATTGAAACGTGTGAATGTTAATTATATAAATGATTGACTAAATTCTAAAAGATACGTAAATTTATTAAAATTTATTAATAATTTATTAAAATTATTAATAAATTTATAAAGATTTATTTAAAATAAGTAACTAAAAATAATATTCTTTAAATATTAATTTTTTTTTCTTCACAATTTTCATTATTTTATCGGCAAAATTATTATATCCGATTATTGATATGTGGAAAGCTTTAATTTTCGAAAGTTAGCCAACTTAAATATTATATAATGTATTGTGTAATTCAATATGACTTGCAAAAAGATATTCTGAGTTTATTAAGTAAGTACTATGAAGTGTTGTTATTTTATGTCATAATGAAGTTATATAAAATTATTATCATATTTTTAATTTTCTTTTCAGAACGCCAAGTATATTGTTTTAAAGAGGGAGAATTAAAATTTATTTTTTTTTTTTTTTTTTTTTTTTTTTTTTTTTTTTTGTAATTAAAATCCGTATAGTCTTACTATGTGAAATATTATTATTTAATATTAATATACTACTTGCATAAATCATCGACATTATAAATTACGGAAGAAATAATAGTACAGTGACATGAATTACAAAAAATAATAATATAAATTTGTATACATTAAAAATATGATTAGAGCATTAATCGATTGATGCAACATTGTCAAATTAAATTCATTATAAATTTATACACTAGTATGCGTCATCATATATATTCTAATTCATTGATAATAAAATAAAATTTCTTTATAAAAATTATATGTCAATTCATGCTTTATTATCTAAATATATGTGCGTGTTTTTCCTCCCTTATTACTACTACAAGTTTTATTCTAGAAATATTTAAGGCAAAAAAAGGTGATATAATATAATATAGCATTTATTTGGTTTCTTATACCATGTAATTGTAAAGAGTCATACAGTGTAATTGTAATTGTAATTACATCTGGCGCAACATGATAAATTATTTTACATCGCAATGATTTATCAAAGGATTTTTTAATGAAAACAGAATCTCACATCTAGTTTCACAAAAATTTTCTCATGTATCACTCTGTTTATGTTCCTGGCTTAATTTTTAATGCTCTTTATATAAATTCTGTTTGTCTATTACTGTTTATGAAGGGATTACATAATTGTTGGAAAAATTTACTACTTTTACGTCACGTGAATGAATATTATATTATATGGGAGGTAGAGAAGAGAAAATGGAAAACACCATTCGCTCGCAGATTTTTCCTAATGCAGATTTATCGTCGTTAAGACTCATAACTTACGTGTCTTATATAGATATTTTATACGGAGGTGTGTGTTTGGAAATTTGCGTGAAAATTAGCCGCAATTTTGTTGATTGAACGCTTGCAAGAATATGAAATGCACGTAGTTTGTAGAGGCAGTATTTCTTCGATTATCGATCTCCCGTAAATCAAAGAAAATATTAGTAATAACGTTTGTAAGAATTACAGTTGCATATAATGTCAATATAATATTTTTAATAAAGCTTAATGCATTTAAGGATATAGTTGAGATATCTAAACATTGGCAATTATTGGTAATAATATAATTTTCATCTATTTCGTAGACGTACCTGGCATATTTCGGTCCAAGACTTGGATCGTACATCGAACTCGCCGAGATATCTTCGTCAGGTATTTCGCCATTCTCCATACCTAGTGCAGCCGAACATTGTCCTATAATCAATAAATATTAATATTATAATGCATTTGTTGTGATAATATTATGTTTTAAACTCTACATGGGAATTAACACATTCGTATATGAAAGCTAATTTTCATTTATTTTCATTTTTTTTTTTTTTTTTTTTTTTTTTTTTTTTTTTTTGTATGTTTAATTCTTCTTCCGGTAATTCCGAGCATTACGAGCATTTTATTTCATAAAATTAAATTATCATTTTTCAAATAATGTTAAATATAATTTAAGTAATAAGTTGTAAAATGATAGGTAATATAATAATCATCGTTTATAATAATTTTCTCGAGCTATATCAATATTGCTATTGTTAATACATTATATTTTATAAGCCCGCGTTTCATAATTTGTAAGCAGCTTTAAAAAAATAAAATTTTGTTCAAGTCTATGTGATGTATAGGGGTTGTAGTTGAAATTCGTAAGTAAAATTCATTATGAAATATTTATAAACCAGAGAAAAATACTTTATGGATATTTCAACACGCTACGCGACAATTCATCAAGTCGCAAGAAATAGTAAAATTGAATAATTTCGTAAAATAAATTGTTTGATAAAAAAATTTCTTTGAAAAAATTAATGTCGATGTTTATACATTTTTTTAATACGAGATAGGAAATTTTTTTAAATTTCATCAATATTATATAAATCTTGACATATAAGTAAGTATATGTTCTGTTTATTATAATGGAGCAAAAATATTATTGAAAATTAAAGGAATACGTTTGGAAACAAGATACAATGAAATCTTTACAAGAATAATTTATGAAAATGAATTTTTAGGTGTTTATAAACGTAATGTGGATAATATTACATATTTCATTAATTATTATAAATTATAATAAAATAAATGAAAATGTTTTTTTTTAGTATATGTGGGTGTGGGTGTGGGTGGGTGTGTATGTATATACATATACATACACACACACACACATACATATTGTTTTCATCGATCCATGAAATAAAGTTTAATACAAGATGACAGAACGTAATTTGACTCTGTAAAATGTAACAATAGAATAAATAAAACTCATTCATATATCAATGCCAAGAATGAAAAAAAAAAAAAAAAAAAAAAAAAAAAAAAAAAAACCCTAAAAATATTTATTATTGTTGGCGTAACATTCGTAAAGACCATAAGATGCGTTTGTTGCGAGTCTAAAGCCACGAATAAATTAAAGCGGCATTTAATTTAAGCTAGCCAGGTTATGGCGATGCGGCTTGTGGAAAGTTTGAAAACTACAGAATGCAACGGATGGCGGATTAGTCAGCCTTTCGGATGCGACTATTATAGATCTAGTGCTCTGTACATCATACTTACACAAATGTATGCGCACGCAGCATATACGTATATGCGAATATGTTGCGCGAGATTATACGTGCGCACGTGCGTCTGTCTTACATATATATATATATATATATATGAATGGAATTTTGCACTCTCGTGCTTACATGTTGTGCGATATTCTGGACATCCCTGATGTGAAATTAGTCTCAGCAAGTTTTGCCTCGCGTACGAGTTCTAGCCTACGCGGTACAATATTCCTAGTCTAACGTTTTTTCTCGCTTCGCTTAGGATAAATAACATTTATTTCGACGCATTAAGTTAAATCTTCTATGCAAACACTCGCCAACACTTAGTGATTATGTTATTCCTTTCATATTGCATCGTACATCGTCAATGCTAATATATTTTTTAATACTTGAATAGTGCTTTATAAAAGAGTTCGTGACTTGGAAAAGTAGTAACGATGATTTGAAAGTATACAATGTTATAGCTTGGTAGGTTGTCAATAAAAAATAAAAAGGAAAGAAAAAAAAGTAAAACAAAAAAAAAAAAATTGCCCCGTTATTTTTAGATGCGTGAGTGAGCAATTTTGGCATACGTAGAATAACATGATTAATCGAGCATTTATTCAACAAAAATATCCAATCCAAATTATGAAGCCACTTGATCTAATCTAAGTCTATCCTTTACAAATTGATTAACTCGGCTATTCCACTCTCACTGCTTCTGATTGAAAGGTCTTGTATATTTTTTCTTCTACGTAGGATAATATCCAAGAAGGAGAAATTGAAAAGGTCAGGCGCTCAATGAAATTGGAGCCAAGATTCTTGAAAATATTTAATTACTATTAAGCGCTTACAACTTTGATCAAAAGCTACGAATATGAATTATTTTCGACTTTTCATATTGAAATGAACATTGCGAATTGATTGAACGCGAGTTGTTTGTAGTCGGTTCGATTAATAGTAACATTCTACACATTAACTGCATTAAAATACATGTTTGGGTTAACGTTTGAGAGATACGGAAGCGGCCGTAAGAATTAAAAAAATATTTTAAAATCTCAAGTAGTCCGATAGAATTACGAAATTATATAAAGCCAAGAGACCATTGATTTTCGTATGTGAATCGATGATTAATTATATAAAATTTGTTGTTTTTTTTGTTTTTTTTTTGTTTTGTTTTGTTTTTATTTTTATGCAGGAATAAAAGAAATAACGAAGAAATTCTCATTTGAACGATCATGTGCGTGATGTGTGCTGTTGGCTGGTATTGGGTGTGGTGGTGTGGGTAGAGTTGGAACGAAGAAGTGCAGGGGGTATTGACACGTCCGTTGGGAGGGAAGTATTCGTCGTGAAAAAACACAAGTTGATGGGTTCGATTCCCGAGCGAGATAAATTCGACTGCCTTCGTCATTCTTTTCCTCTTAATCATTTTCATTTTAATGAAATGAAATTCTATCAGTCTCACGGCGGAACAATGTTATTTTATATCATAGAAAAATTGCTGGAATATAAATTTCCACGCCTGTTTAAACAACGAGTACATTCAATCTATTATAAACTAATTTAATTTATGATTTGATCTGCATTTAATGTAGCGTGGCACATGATGATAATGGTTAAGAAACATAAGAAAAAGCAACGGAAAAGCGTAGGATATAATAAACGAAAAAGTGGAGAGAGTAGATTAATAGTATGAGATATAAAGTATTAAGATTGAGTAAGAATCAATTTGAAATATTCGTGGGAATGCTAGAAATAATAATTTATGGAAATAGATTTTTTGATAGTAGGATGAAAAAGACAAAAAAAAAAGAATAAGGCTTGTTAAGTATAAAATATTTTGGTTTTTGATCAACGAATGAATGATTAAAATAAATGGTCGCACAAGTGTTTGGTAATCAATTGGTGGGACGTAAAAAGAAATGTAGCGTGAGATTAGATATTTGTCGAATTAGCGAGAGAGAGAGAGAGAGAGAGAGAGAGAGAGAGAGAGAGAGAGAGAGAGGAGATAAAAAGTTTTGGAAGGGTATTGAATATGAGTTCGAGTCAATGACAGGCAGCTGCTGACTAATTAAATGGATGATTAAAACGTATGGGCCAAGACATGTCATTGACCCGGATGTACTGATCGTGTGGAACATCGATTAGTGACTAGCGACTATCGAGTCTGCATTATCATACCAAACAGTGTTTACGCAATCGTGAAGCATTCAATGTTCTATTAGCCATATTTTCCTACTCCCAATCCTATAAAAATTTTCCTTAATACAATTACGATGTGTCCAATAGTTTTATATCCAATGACACGACTCTCTTCCGAATTCATTAATCTCACTGTATTTGGTACTCTATATTTATCTCCATTACATTACAAATACAAAACATTTGTCAAATATTTTTCAAACGCTACGTGGGTGTGTGTGTAAGTGATAACTAAATATGTCTTATTATGGATTTATTATGAATTTAACGACAAAGAAATATATGAGCTGGGCCGGATAGATAGGTCATTGATTATTATGAATAATTAGAATTATCACAATGATGCTTTGATATTTGATGGATTTTCAATAATATTGTTTCGATAATATTATTAATTTAACATGCGGTAGTCACGTTATTTAACTTTAAACTCTCGAGCCAACGACGATTGTTACTACTTGGGTATAAACGCATCTCCCCATGGGACTATTATTTTCCTGTCAGCGGCTCTCTTCTTTTTTATTCTCGAGGCGTGAGGAACGTCGAAGAATATTAGTGCGTTCTGTTTTTGGAATATAAAAATTCTACCAATAATTTCCTATGCATAATAAATTTATAAAATTACTTGGCATTCTGAAAAGTTAGCAAATCGTCAATATTTAAATTAGCGAAATTAAGAAATTAAATTAAAATATTGACAATTCTGACAAACTTTTTCAAGTATTATTTATTATAATGAAAAAAAAAAAATTATGAGATTCTGATTCAAATCATTTCCGATAATAGAGCAATTTTTATTTAACTAACAAGTTAATTTTTATAATTAACTTATATTTTCCTTTAACTATATACTATTTTATAATTAATTTTGTTAATTATTTCGAATAATGTTGTAGGTTATATTATGCATTAAATTTGTAATCTATTAAACACGTGCAGAAACGAGAAATACATGTGACTTTAAATTGAATATAAATTGAAGAAAATTAATTAGCGAATATAAGATTATTTTAAAAACAATTGTCACACTCCATCGTAAAAATGTAAATTTAATTTATCAATTAGCTTATCAAATTTATACGTTTCCCCATATTGCTGGTTAAATCGCAAGATTTTTCCTGTCGCTTGTAAAATAAAATTCAAACCGTCAATAATGCGATTCATTCCAATAATTTCAAATCCTTATTGCAGAGTTTAATGTGTCTTTGGCTGCATCAGTGATTCGAATCATAACATTATTTCCCGGCAAGGGATAAGCGCTGCTTTATCTAACGCGTAAACCGAATGATCCACAATAGATCGCTCAATAACGATCGTCTTCTCCGCACATTCAAAATAGTGCGATGACACACGAAACATACGGATTCGCAAAATGCCTCGTCGCTTTCTCCCTCGAGCGCACATTTTACTAAATTCGCACCAGCTATATTATTGGAAAAATGATTTCAGATATGAGGATGCTTTCAGACAATTTTCATGTTGCTGAATAACCGGAGATGATGCATTTTCGTCGACTGACTTTAGAAAATTCAGCTGCTATTTGCTCCAAGCACTCGATGATTGATGAAAATACTAGTTATTGTATGGAATAAACAAATAATATAAATATTTATCATTAATATCGATAGCAGTATTGCCAACGTATATCTGCTTTTTTTTTTTTATTATTCATTTTCTTAAATATGTATGAATAGCTCCTCGCATCGAACGTAAAGATATAAATTCTAATTAATTAAATATAATCTATGAAAGTCCATTGCGTCATGTAGTCACTTGTTGAATAAATATAAATGCAATAAGTATAACACAATACTGATCGATATAAAGAATTTGATTGTTTTTACATATTTTTACCAGAAAATTTTCGAGCGCAGCGATACAATATTATTAAATAATAATAATATATATATATATATATATATATATATATATATATATATAATATTGTCGCTCGCGCCCAATAATGTGAGAGACAAGAATTTTCCATATATTAATAATTTTCTCAACAGTTCATATCCTTTTGAATATTGTGCATTCTTTACAATTCTTATGATAAAACTTTAAAACCTTTAAATACTCCTTTAAATTAAATTCTGTTTAATTTGACAAACATTGAGCCTCTATCTATTTTATTAGGAAATCAATAAAATGATACGGAATATGAATGTACTATATATTTCTACGACGCACCCAATATTTAATGAAAAATTAAAGCCAATTCAATTCATATTGAAAATTAAAGAATATTATTTACATATTTATTAACGGTAAGCAATTAAATAAGTACTTTAGTATTTCACTGGAAGTATTGCTATCTTATTGATAAAAAATTCCTTCAATATCAAATTTTAATCTCACTTAATGAAAATAATTATGTTAATCTATTATCTTATTAAAACGTTAAATTAGTAAAACTTAAAAAAAATGCTTTTTTTTTTTTTTTTTTTTTTTTTTTAATAAAAAGTGAAATAGTCGAGTAGTTGAGATATTGTCCGATTAAAATTTAAAACTCCATATAATACGTAAAACTCTAATAAATTTTCCAAGTAGTTTAAGTATGCTGTTAGTCAGGCAGGAAAATTCTAACAAACTTTCAATTATATTTAACCGCTATTTCAATAATATTATAAATAATATTTTCGTTTAATATTATTATAATCAAGTATACCTTAATATTTTCTGAATCTCTAACGCTTATTTCAATGTTCAGTAGTATAAAAGTAAACATAAATAAGAATAAAATAATATATTTTTTATAAATTCAAAATTTAATTTTACAATATATATGTTATTTATATATTTTATACTTACCTCGTGTATTTTAAAATATTTTTTTTTGTTAATTTCTTTATTAACCGAATCAAATAAATTCTTCTGTTAAAAAACATTTTAATACATTTCAGAGATTTTAATTAGACTATTTAACACTTCAATTTATGAAATGTCGTTCTCAATGAATAGTATTCTAAGAAAAAATAGAAATAGAAAAAAGATCAAATTAACGGAGAATTATAAATATACTCTGGTCAATTATTACTATAAAAAATCTTAATTATTAATTCTTTATTATTTATTCATTTCAAGTAGAGAGTTTAATTTTGTGTTTAAACTATTAAAGCAAATTAAATATTACATGTACTTTCGTAATTTGCCAATATCGGTTGATATGGTATATATTAAGGAAACAAATCCTTATTTACAAGGGTATCTCTCATTATCAAACGAATCAACAAACATTTCGTCCGTAACACGCTCAAAGAGATATATTTACCATCCAAAATCTATTCCTGCAATTATCCAGAATTCGAGGTGCAACGCCTCGCAATATTTTCCGAATATGTTATAGCAAATACTAGGTTAAAGCGCCGTCATTTCATTGACTTTAACAAAATCTCACCTAAATCCAGACCATGGAGCGAGGGTGGCATGGACAGCAATACGACGATCAGAATTTCCTGAAGAAAGCGATAACTGACAGGACCGAAAGGTGGCATGTTTAAAAACCATTAGGTAGTATCCCTCCTCGTTGAACGGCACCTCATCTCGGATCAAATCCTTTCTCGCGAATCATTCGGCCTTAAGTTTTATTATTAATGTTTTCTGCCACAGTGCCTCGATCTTTCCATTATATACTTATGCCTAGAAAATACAATATCGTTATAATGAGTTAAAATTTTAAAAAGAAAAAAAAAATTATGAATGCAATGCTTTCCTTTGTTTTTTTTTTTTGTTTTTTTTTTTTTGTTTTTTTAAGTATAGCTACCAAAAAATTTATCGTACAATTATTTTATTTCGAGCAATGAGACTAGATAGATTGTCGAGAATTTTGTATTGAACATAACATTGTATACATTGAATTGGTAACGTAGATCGTAAAAATACAAAATTATTATTACATAAGTAATGTAGAAAATTCCTGAAATTATGAAAAAATTAATACTGAAACATTAGTCCGATATAGGAATTCAATATAATAAAATTTTAAGGGAGTGACAATACTCAAATTTTTAATCTAACTATAGATAATTTTTCTTCCTTTAATTATTCATCAAAATACTTAACATAGTTAAGTATTAAATAATAGTATTATAATAGTTTTCGAATGAATTTAATATCATATAGTTTGAATTTTGTACTTTCAACTTAATAGTTCCAACATCATTTTCTAACAGATATAGTTTATTGAAAATTATATATTCGAGCATATAATTGCAGGCATTGTACATTAAGTGGAACATATACAATATATTTACAATTAATTTACCGTAATTATCTATTATATTATTGCCATATAATATATTAGATATACTATATAATATATTAGATATTTATACTATATAAAACATTGAGCTTCATATCGTATTTTTACATCATCCGATCCAGCCAATGTTTGCATAACTATCGAATTATCATCGTAAAGGAATGAAAGTCGAGGAAGCAAAGCCGCGAGGAAATGATCGGAGAAACGTAAGAATTTTATTAAGTCGTAATCCTGAAAATCTCACTAATCCGGAGCATTTTAAAGAGAGCGTGGATATTCAAATGGCCATTGTAACATCCGATACATAAACTCTCAACATAAACGCCATTTTCTCTCGGTGACTCCCAAACGAAAAATCAATTGCACAGGCGCTCGCCTCGTATTGCTTCGTCTCGTCTCATCTCGCGGCGCTGCATCTAGATTCGCAAGACCGACGTTTCATCGGCTGCGACACGCGTACGTGCTTTGCATAAATCAACAGTCGGCGCGAGCCACCACTCCATCATCTGCATCATTCACACGTCCCCCCCCCCTCCCGAGAGTGTAAGAGACGTCAAAAGAGGAAAGAGCTTTTTTTAGTCGCGGCGCCGCGAGGACCTTACAATTGTGTAGCGTCAATGACGTTCGTGCCTCGCGCATCCCAATAGAATAAATGACATTCGCTTGTGGATCTGTGTGGTGGATCGATGTGGAGACGAGAGAAAAAATTGATGGATAGATTACGTGACTGATTTTTAAATAATTCATGTTGTGGCTTGCAATTTTATGCCAATTTCAAGCAATAAAGCTGTAACGAATGTTGGTTTGTTGTTGCTCGTATTAATGGGAGCAGCCGCTTCGTAGATTCATCCTCCTGCTCCTTATACGATCAAGAATTTATTCAACAATTCATAACCTTTGACATCCAAAAGCTATCGAACGTAATAATTATAAAAGGAGTCACTTTCAACAGCCTCATTACAAAAAGAAACATTTGTTCATTTAATATAGTGTCGTGACTCAAAGAAACGCAATTTATTATGCTCGTCTTCGATAATTCCATATGCAGAATCGTTATATGCATTAAATATACACTAAATACATGATATTTATTGAATTTAATGCAAGCATTATGTAAGTATAATATAATATTAGATTGTTTATCATAGCAAATTCAATAAAATAAAGATAAAAAGGGGATTTTTTTTTTTTTTTTTTTTTTTTTTTTTTTTTATCAATTACCACGATCCCATACGAATAATCTATATTTTTTTTTGTCTATATACAATATTTTATGTAATTTTTTCTATAATTTAAATTTTAATCAATAATTGAATGTACAATAATTATACTTGGCATAATTGCCAATAACAATTATTACAACATTACCTTCAAATTCACCAAAATTCAGTTATATGTGTTCTAATCACTAGTAATATGATAAAATATGAATAAATAAAAACTTTTTTTTTATAAAAAACCATAATGTGTAAATGATATGCATACATTCAAAGACAACAATTGGCAATAAGAGCATGTATGTTATGACAATTTTTGCAAGTAGTTAGAGTATAAACAATATACATAAATAAGAGAATAGGGAACTTTTTGCTGGCTATATTTGATGAATTATGTGCACAAATTTTTCACGTGTATGAAAATAATAAAATTAGTGTGAATATTCTTACAATTTCAAAGTGGAACTCTATTATTTAAACTCGGATAGTCTCGCGGTGTGTGTGTATATATATATATATATATATATATATATATATATATATATATATATATGCACATTTATGAATTTTCAATGTATTTAAAATACAGTAGCTGTGCATTTATTTATGTGTATTTATGCAAAATTCTGTGACTTTTCATTGTATCGAATATGAAAAATGATTTGCTTCAAAATTTTTTATTCAAAATTTTCTTAATTTAAAACGCATTATTTACTATTTACTTCTTTTAAATTAAAAGAACAAAAACACAGAGAAAAATTTACTTCAAGGAAGTTATGTATAATTATTTCTTGTTTTTTTTTTCTTCAAAAAAATAAAAAATTACGATAATCATATATCGACAGTCTGGATAAGAAGATTTATTCGTAATATTTAAAAATTTTCTAAAAATTGTTATCTATTTGTTACTAAACTGTTCGAAATTTTATAAAAACTGTCAAATACTATTATCAAACATATATATTAACGACAATTATAAATTCTAATATTATTACAAAGAAAATTTGTAAGAAACATTATTATATGTAACATTTTATTTTACATTAGCTTACTTATAAAATTAATCCAATACTTTTCTCGAATAATATAATCCATTATCATTTTAGGATTTCAATTAAAAATTTTATATTTTAATTATATCTTTTAGTAAAATCACAATTAATTTCAAATGAAAATTTGTTAATATATTTGATAATATATATTTCTATTAATAAAAGCATTCACTTTTATTTGCTAATTATTACTCAATTCATATATATATATATATATATATATATATATATATTATATATGTATATCATTTTTAATGTTAATACATAATAATAAAAAAAATTGTATTATAATTTTACATAGATAAGTAATGTATCGAAAAGAAATTTTTTTTTATGAAACCACTGGACTATCATTCAAGTTCAAATAGAAATACCTTTTCTTCATAATATATTAGGAAAACATATTTAAAATGTTTGCAATGCATTATAATAAGATTATACGAACAAACGGTACTAAACATAAAAATTAAGCTTTAAATGAATACAAAATTTACACAAACAATGAGATAAATATTAGATTTCAATTATCTTTATTGCTTACAAACAAAATTCACATATATAATGAAGTATTTGGACGTTTTCAAATATGTTTTTCTACTAAACAATTTTTCCGCACTATTTTATTCGTGTTAATTTACAGAATAATAAATGAAATGAAAAAATAAGCTCCTCAATATTTATTTGAAATTTTGTTTATAACTCTATAGAAGCCTTTATAAAAACGTCATAAAAATATAAAAATAAATCTATGTATTAATTCATTATCATAGTATGGTAATACTATTTGACGAAACTTTTAATGATAATTTAAGCCAATCGTTCGTAAGTATTAAATTTATCATTGGAGATTAAATTAAAGTCTTTAATAATCGATAGCATTATAATGTTGTAAAGTTATTTATTTGTACCAAATATGCCACAAAGTTACCGTTCATATGGCAATACATTGAAATGCATTGTAATTGAAATGATCTTACAAATGTTTTATTTGTGGAAAAATGACGGAAATTTTACAGTCTCGTTATTTCATTCATTGAAAGCCATTGGAACCGCCAAATCCTTGCTTAACGAGACGGATTTTAAAGTTTCTCGCTGCCGCCTACATTGGGCAAATGTATGCCTCTCTTTTTTCGCTATATCGCTTTCCGACTCTACTTTCATTCGTCTCTCTCGTTCTTCTCCTCACAGGGCTATGCTCTCTCTCTCTCTCTCTCTCGCTTGTCCGCGCACGTTGGAAGCGAGTCTCTTCCCTTGATAAATCCGTCACGCTCGGTTGGATTAAGTGAGAACGAAGCTAGCGCCCTCTCAAAGACAAGTCACCTCCGCCTTTCTACGTCTCGTAATTGTTGATCTTTCGTATCCTTGAGCTCGTGAAATTAGAAGTGGCATATATTTACTTCAATCAGAAATAAAGACACGTGCGAGTCTTCTCCTCTTTTCACTCCCATAATTATTCAATTTATTTTTTTTTTCCAGCGAGTACAGGCGCTGTAGTGCGAGCACGAGTGCGAGAACGTTGACTTTTGTGCTTTCTTAAATAAAAAGTCTGGTAGTTGATGCTGCAATTGCACTCGCAAGCTCAAAGGACGAGCCTGTAACGTTATTAAAAAAAAAAAAAAAAAGAGAGAGAAAGAAAAAAAAATGTCTCTTAGAAAAAGTTTAATCGCGTTATGCTATCATAATCCAATGAACTTTATTTCAGGCTACATGAAGAAAAAAATTACTTTACATACGTATCGTTTTTCTCTATAAATTCATTTTGAGCTTAAAATACTCCAATACTCACCATAGTAATATCGAGTATAAAGTAAAATATAAATTAAAATTTTTCATTACACAGTACATTAAAGTAATCTCGTCACCCGACTGCACTGTAAATATTACGACGTTTCGTTAAAAGTTTATGTCGGCAATATTTTTGTCTGCTGGAAAATTACAGCAATAAAGAAGTCGAAATCTCGGAATAAGTCCACTCCGACTCTTAAAAAGTGTTTATTTCGAACCGCTAGTCGAGCGCTCGCAAAGTGGCTCGTTCAGTTACCGCAAGCAACGTCGCACTGCTCG